ACTATCCCTCCACCCACCTACTCTTCCTGTCTGTGTCTGATCCAACGCCACAAGCAGGAGTGGAACCCCCATTCAAAAGTTACCAAATTGTCTGTCTTGCAAGCTCATCTCATTGCCATCATGTCAGAACTGACTCATAGCTGACCCTCCATTGCATTTCTGAGGCTGTAAATTGCACAGAAGATTGCCCTTTTCCCACAGAGCTGCTGATGGATTTACACCACCGGAGAGGCACTGCCTTTAGGTTTGCAGTGCAATTCCCTGTGGATTATGCCATCTCAACTCCCCTAAGGAGAGAGATTTCTTTCATGTTATCTTGAGACAAAATGCCTTCTACTGGGAACAATCTCATTTAGGGGCTTTTAATTTACTAACATTCAAAATAAGTAATGTTTTGTACTTCAAAGTGGGGTGAGTGAGAAAGTGGTCTCACTGATAAGCCCTGCAGAGAGTTTTTAGACTGAGACTTTGCCCCAACCCGTTACATGATGCAACATGTATTTTGGAGAAATTCCAGCTCAGCCCCACTTTTCTTTTCCTCTTGGTTGCTGTTGTTATTAAGTGTCATAGAGTTGGTACTATGACTCATAGAGACCATCTAAACAACAAATCTGAACCTTGTCCTGTCCTGTACCATCCTCAACAATCAAAGACTCTCTCAAGCCTATTGTTGCAGTTAGTGTCAATTCATCTCATTGAGAGTCTTCCTCTCCTTCTGTAACCCTCCACCTTTTCTTTATTAAAGGACTGTTTCTTCCTAATAACATGCTTCCCAAGTATGTGAGATAAAGCTTCACCATCCTTATCTCTGGGTGTACCCTAGTTGTACTTCCTCCAAGGCATACTTGTTTGTTGAAATACTACTTTCTGATTTCTTCCGGCTGGGCCGAGGGTCGGATTTCTACGTTGAAGGACACAGACTGTGGAATTTGTGGCTTTGGCTAGATTAAAATCATGGCAGGTCCAGAAAGTGACGCTCAATTCCAGTTCACTGGTATTAAAAAATACTTCAACTCTTACACACTCACAGGTAGAATGAATTGTGTACTGGCCACATACGGGGGTATTGCTTTGCTTGTTCTATACTTCAAGTTAAAGTCTAAAAAAACTCCAGCTGTGAAAGCAACATAAATGGGATTCTAAACTGCACCTTCTCTGCTAATTTGTCTTACCTGGAATAGCTAATGTCAAATCATCAAATGATGCTTAATTTGTACAATAAATTATGAACCTGGAAAAAAAAAAAAAGAAATACTACTTTCTTTCAAAGTATAGACTTGAAGTGCTGTGCACTGCAATCTCTTCAGCATGTTTTTGGGTTTGTTTTGTTTTCCCCCAGATAGTTTTCTTTCAGTTGTTTGCAGGGGTTTTGAGTATAAGTGGGCATACAGCTTGACAGGGATGACAGAAATACAGGTAACCCCCTTTCTCAAGCTGAGTGGCACCAAGTCCTTGGGGCTCCAGGGGGCATTAGAGGAGACAGACAGTCATGGGTCTTGGTGTTTCATCTGAGTAGTATTTTCATGCATGAGGATTCTTCTCAATGACTTATTAAACAATATAAACATTAACAAAGATAAAACCCAACAGAATGTAATGAGAACATTATGCCACGTGAAATGGACTTCCCCTCTAACAGCACATGAACTTGCTCTTGGGACATTCCACCCTGTCAGGAGAGCACCTTCTCTCTTCAGGCCCTGCCCAGCCATTGGTTAGTGTCTTCAGCTTTAGTTCAATTTCTGTTTCACAAAAAAGATGAAAATCAAAATAAACAAATACAACCCAAACTCCTCAGAAAAGTGTTCAAGGGGCACATAGCAAAGGAGTGCCCTCAGCTGCAGTTCTGTGGCAGGATGACCCCAGGGGTTTCTCTTGGCTCTTGACTCTGGATCATGCCACCTCTGCAGGCATTTGAAGACACAGAAGTGATCAGTGCCACCATGGAGCATGCTATGCTCCCACTCGCCCCACCCCCCCACCCCGGTCACAGTTCACACGGCCTGTCTGAGTAGGGTGTTAGGGGACTTGGAGGTCATGGACAGATATTCAATATGGAAGACCACTGCTAAGGGGCCCTGCATGTGTCTTCTTGTGCCCAGATGAAAAGGATGGGAAGCTCCAAATCTACCACATGCTGCATTTGAAGCAAGTCCTGCCAGAAACAGATGAGAAGGTGATCCACAGGGCCCAAGAGAACATTCACTACTCAGACTTGGACAGTTATTCTGTTCTGGGCCCTCAGCAATGAAAGAATTCATAAGGACCTTGCAGGGTATCTCAGTTGGACATCCACAGGGAGGGAAGGATGTAGCTCTGGTCAATCAACCAATTCACTGCAGACAAGGAAGAAAACCACAATCAGCCTACAAAACAAACACACAATATCCCAAGCTCAGAGAAACAACATAATGGCAGGGCAGCGGGATAGGTTCCAGGACCACAGCAGAGCTTCTGGGCAGAAAGGCCCATGTAGTTTCTCTATCTTCTCTCTCTTTCTCACTCACTTTGCTGGGTTTGCACAATATAAGTTTAAAAATCAAAGGGCATTAGTTAGGACTTAGAATCTCCCCTTATGGAACCCATATTGCTCTGGAGAAGGAAGAACCTGAAATACAGTGCTGATCTGGTATGGGATTTTGTTACTCACAGGCTGTCTCATCTGTGAACTTCATACCTGTATAATGAATCATCCCCCTCACCCCCCCAGTTATCTTTCTTCCCTAAATCAACTTTTCTGCTTCCCAGGTGCATGGTAGAATCACAAGATTGGTAACACCTGGTAACACTGACAATATACAGACAATTCTATCACATGCCACCTAAGTTTTAGGGACCAGGGCTCTTCTCTGTCTCCCTTTATATTCTGCTTGCTATCTCAATTCCTGAGCCCAGTTTGACCTCTGCCATCCTTCCAGGAAGTCTGTAGATTTTACTAATCTAGGACATGCCTGTCAGCTTCTCTCCACATCCTCTCCTCTGAACTCTACCTCCCTTCTCATGTGCTAGGTTACCCCTTCCTTTTGCTTTCCTCTCTGACTGTAATACTTGTGCTTCGAAACCTGAGCCCACAAACCTCATAAGAGAAAGAAGAAAACCTAGTTTATGTTCAGGAGGCAGAGGGGAGGGCCTGAAGTTGGTGACTCTAGACTGAGATCCCTGAGCTGTATGAACCTAAGGCTCATCCTCATGGACAATCTGCTTGACACAGCACCAAAACTCAAGCAGTGAATCTTGGCACCCTTTCTCTGGACAATAGTGGAGAAAAAGAGAAGATTTTTATATATATATATTTTGCTTCAGTCATGCTAGATTTCACTTTCTTTATACAAGTGTTTGGGTTCTAACTTAGTTTTGATCAAGGCTGGAGTCATTGTATACTGTCATTACTGGAATATGGTGGGGGTGGTTACTAGCATCTAACAGGTAGAGAGTTGTGATACTGCTAAACATTCTGCAATACATAGGTCAGACTAAACAACAAAGACTGATCTAAAGGGTTTTCTTGTACTCTCACTTTTGTATTTAAAGTTGTTTCTCAAGAAGTAAATTGTTACTGCAATTTTTAACCCTGCTGGCCCAGAGGAACTGCAGGCCAGTCTTTACTGGACACACATGAAGGCTTCGCTTGGCTGGGGGTTCTTGGCAAAATTTGTGGAGTTGACTGGGTTGAGATTGGAGAAATTAAGAAGACAGAATATGAAGTGAACTTCTTAAATGAAGCGGCATTCCATTAGGCTTGTGACTCCTTAAACTTTGTATTGCACAGAATACAACTTATACTATGAAAGAATGCCAATTCTGTCTAATCATTTCTCTCCTCTACTCCCTTATTCCCACAATTAGGAAGATGTGAAGAAGCTGGAAATGGGCAACTTGGCCATCTGCATGAGGGTTGTACCTGAAATCCCAGGGATAGTGACAGGACAAGGAAGAGAAAGGAAAGCAGATGTGGCACCCAGTGAGTCTCACTTTGTCCCTCCTTTTGTACTTAGTTATCAATTGTGCAGCAGCAAAGTGTTCCTTACCTGTTACAAGAAAGACCGGAAGGACTAAGCTCTGGAGGAGGTTGGAGGGGAGTTTGAGTTTATACTCAAAAACGTCTTCTGGTTTCTATGCTAAGGAGTTCCTTTTTAGTCATGTAATTAAAAAGGGAAATTTCTGAATCAGCAATTAGCTTTGGATAGGAGTCTTCTAAGGCTAACTGTATGCAGGCACAGTCCTGGTTTCAGCTGTTAAGATTGCCAAGGCTGGTTGTGAACCCATGCAAGACTGTCAAGCAGATGGCCTGAACTAGAGATATAAGGTCCTAAGAAAAACAAAAGAAATGACATCAATGAATGCAGAGGGGGAATTGGGTCTGTCATTTGACTTATGGGCAAAAGCCCAGCAGTGCAGTGGGGATCAGCGAAGTGGAGAGGTCTGGATTCCAGGGTCTCAGTGACTTAAGCATCCATCACGAAAGAATCTGAGGGTTTAGGAAGGAGCCGAAGACCTCACACCAGTCTGTTCTAAGAAGTCCAGTAAGAACCACAATGCAGATAGTACTCATTGCTTATTAAAGGAAGGGGCTTTCCAAGACTGGCTGTCTCTTCTGGGGCCAGTCTGTTGCCTGCCCAGGGAGAGATCTGGGCAGCCGAGACCGCGATCTGGCGGGCCAGTGTGAGTCACTGAGCCCCTTGCGCACTGGGGAGCCTTTCGGGGTTCAGGGAGTGGGGCTGGACTGAAGAAATTTCCCGGCACAGAAGCCCGTAGGTTCAGGGGGCGGCCCAGAGCGGCCGCGGTCCAGGTCCACAGCGGACTGGCGGCCAGCGTCGGCAGCGTCCTCGACTACAAGTCCCAGGAGCCGCCAGGGCGCGCGCACGTTTCCGGGCCGGGCCAGCACCGCGTCCCCGCCCTCGGAGCGTCCTCCCCGCGCGGCCGCCGGGCGGGGTCGTCGTGGACGCTGCAGGCTGAGCCGGCGGTCAGCGCACGGCGCGGGGCGCATCATGGGGAATGGAATGAACAAGGTACCGTGCTCCCCTCGGCTCGCGCCCATCTGGGGCCCCGTGGCCTGGAGCGTGGGGGGCGGGCCGGGCTGGGCGTGTCCCGGCGCGGGGAGGTTCGGTCGGGCTTTTGAGGGGCTGCCCGCACCCTGCGAGCTTCCAGGAAGGCAGTGCGCCCTAGGGGCCGCGATGCCCTTTACGCGCCGGTGACACAGTTCTCCGCGGAGACCTCAGCTGCGCCCCAGCACTGTGGTTTCTTCTTTCTCTCCAGTCTCTGAAGCATCACCACCCACATCTCTGGGAAACGGCGTAGACGGAGTCTTCTCTGCTGCGTGTTCCTTGTCGTTGCTGCCTTTTTTGGGGAGGGGGAAACACAAAAGTTTTTTCTTGTGTGTAGAGAAACACCTTTCCTGGAGCGCTTTTCCGTGTCTGGGGATGAAAAAGCGGGTTCAGAGCCAATTGCTCCTGGACTGTGTTGACTGCACTTAGACGTGAAAATTTCTGCCCTTTCTCTCCCTGCTTTGCCCCTCCTTCTGGTGTCAACCCATCACCGCTGCCCCACGCGCTCACTCCTGCCCCTCCCCTCACACAGTCCCGGCCCATAGGAGGCACTTGGGATATATTCATGCCATCTGCAAGGCTAGGATTTTGCTATTAGTACGTGCCGGGTTAAAGGGAACACTTGCAAGACTTGAAAAGTCCCTCAAAGATGAGTGAGTGTTTTTAGCAGGCTGTCTCACACCCAGGCTGTGGTCCACCTGTCGCACCTCCGCAGACCCTGTGTGTTGTTGCCTGTCCTCTGCCTTGTTTCAGCCCTGGGGAGACAAGGTTGGTTCAGCGGGGACAGGTAATTTCTCGGAAGCTTACCTCACCGCTCACCTGCCCAAATCGTATTTACGGTAAATCTTATTTACAAGGAGTTGTTTTGTCTGTCACTTCACTGAGGCTTTTTGGCAAACTGTGTTTTGGCGACCTTATGTATTGATTTTGTTTATTTGGGCGGTTCTCAAGTTTAGAAAGCTCTGATTTCCCTCCTTGGATAAGTACTTGACTTGGTCCGCATTTCCACTGGACTCCTTTCTCACCACCACCTACCCTCTGCTTTTTAAATTTAAAATGGCATTGCTCACCACCACCTCCACCTCCTGGGCTCAGCTTGCCTTCCTATTGGTTGTGCTCAGACCTCAGCTTTCCTTTGGTTCTTTCTACCCTCTTATCCCAAGACTTTAGCCTGTTGAAATGATAATATTTAAGGGGAAATACTATCATTTCAACAGGCAATAATAAATAAAGTCATGCATTAATAGTTTGCTTTTATGAGTTTTGAGTCTTCAGAGGTTGGCTATGTATACAAAAATCACAATGAATTCTGACTGACCACATTGTAACTGCTCAGTCACTAGCTGCAGCTAATCACCAACTGTTTGCTCTTTTGGAGCTGTTCAACATTTTACTTACCGTATTTGTATATTCCGATTTAAGGAGTTTATTTGTTGTGTTGTTTTTGCTAATAGGTGCCATAGAGTCAACTATAGTAGCTCTATGGACAACAGATTTGAACCCTGTCCTATCCTGCACCATTCCCACGAACTCCATCAATCCCCAGCTCAGTGTTGCAGTCTCTATGTCAGTACATCTCTTTTTTTAAATGTTGTTGTTATGTGCCATTTGGTCACAGCAGCTCTGAACCCTGCCCTGTCCTGAGCCAGTCTCACTGATTCTGACACACCAATCTCCATTGCCCCAGTTACTGTATCAGTCCGTCTCATCCCAGGTGTTCCTCTCCTGCACTGACCCACCTGCCTTCTGAGCATGAAGTCTTTTTCCAAAGACCAGCCTCTCCTGGCCATGTGCCCATAATATGTGAGATGGAGCTTCAGAATCCTAGCCTCCAAGGAGAAACTTGATTGACTCCCTCCAAGGCAGAACTGTTTGTTTTCTTGGCAGTCCATGGAATATTCAAGACTCTTCTCTAGCACCATAATTCAAAGGTATCGATTCTTCTGTCATCCTTAGTCATTGTTCAGTTCTGATGCATAGCAAATAATTGTGAAGACCATGGCCTGGATTAGGCGCACCTTAGTCTCTAGACTGACATCGTTTTTATTTAACAATCTGAAGAGGTTCCTGATAGCAGGTTTTCCAAGCAATTCGTCTTTTGATTTCCTGAGTGTTGATACCAAGAGTGTTGATTGTGGAGCATGGCAAGCTGTAACTGTTAATAACCTTAATCTCTTCTCTATTATGGTGCTGCCAATTGGCCCAATGGTGATACTCTCTGTCTTCTTAATGTTGAGCTTCAATCCATATTGAAGACTATAGTCCTTGACCTGCAGCAAGCACTTCAGGTCTTCTTCAGTTTCAGCAAGCAAGGTTGTGTCATCTGCATAAAGTAGGTTGTTGATGAGTCTTCCTCCAATCCTGATGCCACATTTCTCCTCATAAAGCCCTGCTTCCCAAACGATCTGCTCCACATATAGATTGAAAGGGTATGGAGACAGGATGCATCCCTGACACACTCCATTCCTGATTTTGAACCATGCAGTGTTTCCCTGCTCTGTTCTGAGGACTGTTGTTATTAACTGCTGTCAAATCCTAGATGATTCATAGTGACCCTATGAACGAAAGATTTGAACACTTGTATAACTTTCATCGGAGGACCATTTCCTAGTCCATGTAGAGGTTTTGCATACCTTCTACATTTTCCAGCTTTTTCCAAAGACAGCACCAATCCCCCTTTATAACATACCCAAAACCTATGAGACAGAGTTTCACCATCTTTGCCTCTAAGGGCACTCTGATTGCATTTCCTCCAAGACAGACTTGTGCTCTTTTGGCAGTCCATTCAAGATTCTTCTCCAACACCATAATTCAAAGGCATCTTTCCTTGTTGTTGTTGTTGATTGCCATTCAGTCGAGCAAGACTCATAGTGACCCTATGGACAAAAGGCTTAAAGCTCCTCTACAACTATGGACATATTTCAAAGTTCATAGAGTTTCCAGAGGCATGCTGTTTAGTTAGTGGATGCCACTCTTGCTCCCAAATCTATCTTAAACTGGGAGCTCCACCAGTGGGTAACCATTATGGCATTTGACACTCAAAAAGCACAAGGTTCAGCATCACAGCAGCCCCAGATTACCCCAGTAGAGCATATTGACAGAAGAGTCCTGTACCATATAGAATAATGCTCCTTCAGAATATAATAACAACTAACTTTTAGATACAAAGGCTCTCCCCAGGGTCTTGTTGATTCTAAACATGAGACTTAAATAAAAAATTTATGTTTTTGTTATTATGTGCTATTGAGCCGCCTGCAACATATAGCGACCTGACCCTATGTATAGCTGTTCTGAACTTTTACTTGCCTTGAGCTAGCCTCACTAATTCTGACACATCAGCCCCCATTACCCTAGATAATGTATCAGTCCATCTCATCTGGGGTCTTTCTCTCCTGCCCTGTCCCTCCTGAGCATGATGTCCTTCTCCAAGGACCAGTCTCTCCTGGCCACATGCCCAAAGTATGTAAGACAGAGCTTCGAAATCCTAGCCTCCAAGGAGAAATCTGGTTTCACCCTCTCGAAGACAGACAGACTTGTTTCCTTGGCAGTCCGTGCTATGTTCAAGACCCTTCTCTAACACCACAACTCAAAGGCTTCTTCTTCTTCTGTCATCCTTAGTCATTGTCCAGCTCTCTGAAGCATAACAAGAAATTGAGAAGACCATGGCCTGGATTAGGTGTACTTTTGTCTCGACTGACATCGTTGTTTTTCAGCACTTTGGAGAGGTCCATGACAGCATATTTTCCCAGTGCAGTTCATCTTTTGATTTTCTGACTGCTAGTATTAAGAGTGTTGATTGTAGAGCCGAGCAAGCTATAATTGCTAACAACCTCAATCTCATCTCCATCTACTATGATGCTGCCAGTTGGCCCAGTGGTGAGAATCCTTGTCTTCATGATGTTGAGCTTCAGTCCATATTGAAGAAGAAGGTCCTTGACCTTCTGCAGCAAGCACTTCAGGTCTTCTTGTTTCATAAGCAAGGTTGTGTCATTTGCATATCATAGGTTGTTGATAAGAATTCTCTAATCTTGATGCCACATTCCTCCTCATAAAGCCCTGCTTCTCAAATGATCCTGTTCTACGTACAGATTGAAAACATATGGGGACAGGATGCATCCCTGACACACTCCTTTCCTGAGTTTGAACCATGCAGTGTTTCCTTGCTCTGTTCTGAGTACTGCTTCTTGATTCAAGTATAGGTTTTGCATAAGCACAATCCAGCGTTCTGGGATTCCCATTTTCCTCAAAGTTAGTCACAGTTTGTTTTGATCCACACAGTAAAATGCTTTTGCATAGTCAGTGAAACACAGATAGACATTCTTCATACCAGAAGAATACCATCTCTTTCTGCCAAGATCCATCTGACATTGGCAATAATGCATCTAGTGCCATGACTTCTGGTAAACCCAGCTTGTATTTCTAGTAGTTCTCTGTCAATGTACTGTTCCAGTCATTTCTGTATTATCTTCAGCAGGATTTTGTTAGTGTGTATTATTAGTGATTTTTTTTTATAATTTCCACACTCTGTTGGGTCACCTGTTTTAGGAATGGGAATAAATATGGATCTCTTCCAGTCAGTTGGCCAAGTAAATGTCCTCCAGATTTCTTGACACAAGTTCGTGAACACATCCAGGGCAGCATTTGTTTGCTGAAATACGCCAATTGATATTCCATCATTCCTGGGGCTTTATTTTTGCCAAGTCCTTCAGAGCAGCCTTAACTTCGTCCTTCATTACCATTACCTCTTGTTTATATGCTGTTTCTTGAAATTCTACTGTGTCAGCCAATTCTTTCTGGTACAGTAACTCCGTATACTCTTTCCATCTTCTTTTAATGCTTCCTGAATCATTCAATATTCTGCCCATTAAGCATTGCAACTCATGGCTTGAATTTGTTCTTTAGTTCCTTCAACTTCAGACTCCAGGTCCTTGCACATTTCATTATAATATTTTTCCTTATCTTCCCGAGCTGCCCTTTGAAATCTTCTATTCAGCTCCTTAACTTCTTGATTTGGCTTCCCAGTGCTCTAGTGCAATATTCAGAGTTTCTTCTGACATCCATTTTGATCTTTTCTTCTTCTTCCTTCTTTATAATGACTTTTTGCATTCTTCATAAATGATATTCTTGATATCTTCCCACAGCTCAT